AAAAATTGGACTTACAGTCTTTACATGATGTAAAGCCAGCGACAACAATAACAAATGAGATAACTCACTTTTCATTTTTTTTAAATCGATGTATTTGCCTCTTTATACATATCTGTATCAAAATCTCAATTTCTCGAAAATTGGACTTGTTGCCTTTACAAGTTAAGCCAGCGATATGGACTTTTCGGAAATTATTCGCGTTTTAAGAGTGTTTGGCTACATCAATGCAACATGTAGTAGGGGACCAGATTTAAAAACTTTTTGGCTGATTATCGTCCTCTGATAGTTAATTATAAAAACTAGTACCAAAAACTAATAGCGGTGATAATTACCAGGCTATGACTGTGGTGCCGAATGTGGTCCATTATGTGCTCCATGCCGAAGCTATCCCGTTTAACAAGAATTGTACGTCAACAACAAAATAGACAATGAAAGAGGAAATGGAAGGATGTAGAAAAATCTATACAGTAGTTGTTGTTGTGAAGTTATTCGAATAAACTGCGTAGTAGAAATTTACGTTACAATTCAAATTCTTAAATTAACGGAATTTATCTAAATTAAATTAAATCTAAAGTTATATTCGTAACATTGCCCCCCGCTTAAGCCTGTTCGTCCCGAATAGGCACAGTTCCCGTTCCGTAGGGGCCCAGCCGCTCCAAATGTACAACTTTCATCTTCGACCTGGGACTGTCGCTCCTCTGGATGCGATAAATGACGTCATTTATTTTCGTGACAATCTTGTAGGGTCCTTCCCAGTGCGTTTGCAATTTGGGGCATAGTCATTTCTTTCGTTGTGGATTGAACAATAGTACCAGTTGCCCTTCTTGAAACCCATCGGTATTTGCCGCTCGATCGTACCTTGCCTTCATGCGGTTGCTAACCATTTTTATTCGATGGCGAACAGCATCGTGGATTTTACTAAAAGAGTTTTGACTGTCTTCATCTTGGTTCAAATCGTCGTTTGGGGTAGCACCAAATATCAAATCGCCAGGTAGCTTTAATTCATTTCCGAACAGAACTTTGGCTGGGGTCCGGGATGTGGAATCATGAATGGCCGATCTATAAGCCAGTAAAAACTTTGGAATATGCTCATGCCAGTCTCGTTGGCCACTGTCCACCACTTTCCGTGGATGTTCTTCTAGGGTGCGATTGAATCTTTCCTCCATGCCATCTGATTGTGGATGTAGGGGCGTCGTTCTGGTTTTCTTGATTCCGTAGGAGTCACAAATTTCCTTGAAGATCGCTGATTCAAAATTCCTACCTTGATCGGAATGAACCTCAGATGGAACACCATAGCGACAAATCCAATTCTTGCTGAACACATCCAGAATTGCGATTCTTTCAAAAAGGGGCACCAGAATTATACTGCTGCATGTAGCCTCGACTCTTCCGTGTTGGACCTTTAGCTCTTATGCACCTTTCACAATTGGCAATCCAGTCGGCAATGGATTTTTGACAGCCGACCCAGTAGAATCTCTGCTTCACTTTTTCAGCGGTTTTTGCTATGACAAGATGTCCCCCACTTGGCCCATTGTGAAACTCCGGCAAGACATCTCTTATTTTGGAGTCTGGGACGACGATCAAGTTCCGGTGAGATTTACCGTCCGCACTTTCCCATTTGCGATATAAGCAACCATCTATTATAAGTAGACTGTCCCACTGGGCCCAATAGGATTTTAAAAGAGGGCTTTCGGAGGTAATTTCTTTGCGACTATGTCGCTTGCCCGTTTCTATGGCCGAAATTATTTTGCCCAGAATGGGATCTCTTCGTTGTTCCGTCGACCCGACTCAAACTGCAATAGTCGGACATCAACGATATTCTCTTTACACTCAGCCTTTGAGCAATGCCTGCATTCTACCTTGCATGGCCGACGAGACAGTTTATTAGCATTACCGTGTTTTCCGCCTTTTCTGTGCTCGATTCTTTTTAACGGTGACTCATTGGTGGACTGTTGAGCCATTCTTCTACAATCATTCGTTGGAGGTGGTGACGATGACCTGGATCGTTTGCGCTTAGCTCTGCATTCGCGAGCAATATGATCTGCTTTATCACAGTTGTAGCATCTAATCCTGGTCTTAGTCATCCCTACTAACATTGTTTCTTCTATTACCCGTCTCATGGCGTCTTCGTTCATGTTAACGAGAGATTTGGGTTCGCAACATTCGGTCTCCAGTTGGCGAATCTTGTGGGTCTGGGGCTTAACAATTATTCTTTCCGTTTCTTGGGCAACGGCAAAGGACACGGTTTCGGCAAATGACGCTTTTGGTGACGCATATGTTGCACATTTAATCTCAGGGTCACGTATGCCCTTCACAAAGGTTTCGATTTTCATACGGTCCACCAATGGGTGATTCTCTCCTGGATACGTCATTAGCACCAAACGTTCCACCTCAGTTGCAAAGTCTTGTAACGTCTCGTTTACCCTCTGTACTCTTCCCCTTAATTCCATAAGGTAGAATGTTTATGTTCGCCACCGTACTTACGTTCCAGTGCAGCAATAACATCTTCATAGTTGTTTCTATAAGCGACAGGAATACTCTGCATAACATCAGCAGCACTGCCCTTTAATGCCAGAAGTAGTGCAACCGCTTTGTCGCTGTCGTTCCACGAATTTCGAGAAGCCACTGTGTCGAACTGTAACTTGAAAACATTGAATGACGTAGAGCCGTCGAATACAGGAGGTTTGATTTTTAGTGTGTTATCAGGAACTCACACCGGACCACCATTGATTTCCAGTTCCGAAATTTTCTTCTCCAGATTCGTAAACCTGTGGTCGTGGGCCAGAAATTTCTCGTCAACCGACTGCACTTTCTTATCCAGCTCTTTAATTTGGACCTCCACGGTTTCCACTCTCCTTCCAATAACTTCTGTAATGTACTCGAGTTTCTCGTTCATTATTCTCGAATTTTCTTCGAACATTCGTCTCGAGTTTTCTTCTAACTTTCTGGAATTCTCTTCGAACATTCGTCTCGTGTTTTCTTCTAACTTTCTGGAATTCTCTTCGCTCCTTCTGGAATTTTCCTTAAACATTTTAGCCAGCATTTCTCTGAAATCGTCACCCCTGGCAGCTACTGACGAGACTTCCCCACCGTTGGATTCGCCCATTTCCGATAAATCCACTTCATCCTTACTGTCAAACTCATATGTATCGATGTTCATACCACGGCGCTCGAACTCATCCAAAATACGATTTTGTAGTTCAGCCTTGTTGCCAGTAGAGGACAATTCCAATTTATTGAGCTCCTTCTTCAAGTCTTCCACTCGTAGATCCTTAAACTTCATCGTAGTATTATCGTAATCCCACTTCTGACACCAATTGTTACGTTCTTGGATTTTACTTAATCCCGTGTAGACGTTGTTTTATTTCCCAATACAGTTCGTACAAAATAAAACGCGGGTTCTTTCTGATTACGAATATTACAATGATTTTATTGACACAACTTTACTTTGCACTTTACTTGACGGTTTCAATTCGCGATCTGATCCACCACTAACTAACTGCCTTGCCATTTCCCCTATTTATATGAGCATTGCCTGTCGCTACAGAAGTTTCTAGACGATATGGTAACACCTAGATTACGAACAATCTACCAATGCAACAAACACATACAAATTTACATTGAGTGAACAATAACAACAACACATATACAGGCGAGGGAGTAACAAAGAAAGAGGAATTAAGCGATCATCAATGATGACGTTTAACAAGAATTGTACGTCAACAACAAAATAGACAATGAAAGAGGAAATGGAAGGATGTAGAAAAATCTATACAGTAGTTGTTGTGAAGTTATTCGAATAAACTGCCTAGTAGAAATTTACGTTACAATTCAAATTCTTAAATTAACGGAATTCATCTAAATTAACTTAAATCTAAAGTTATATTCGTAACAAAATATTAAAAGTTTTATGCACGAAATACTTACGAAATGGAATGGAAACATTACAAAAACATCTGTAAAAATACAAAAAACCGTGCATCTAAAAAAAGTTTATTAGCTGGACATACCAAACTTTGCGACAGTTAATTATTTTTATATTCGATACCTATGTGCTAGTGGTGTACGGTGAGAGCTTCATATCGTAAACGCGATTGCCGAAGGTGCTCCAGCCTCCCCTACATCTAAGCCATCAGATGAAATTTCGCAAAATATACGGTCTACAAAAAGTTAACACATTTTTTAAATATTTTGTTGAGCAATCATTGGTATGATGGATATTTCCATCACTATGCAAAGACGGGATAACCAACAAACCCTGTAACGGTAAATGTAACTTTCCAAATTAGATTGCTTATTCCCAGTGTGATCCACTATACAAAACATATATTTGGAAATTTCTGCTAAGTACAATGACTGACTATCAAGGTTATTTTATGTTAAAAATTATCATTATTAATAATAATTAAAGTCCTGTTTCTAATAAATTGGGTAAAGAAGAATAATAAAACAAATGTAATATTTAAAAATATAAAAAATATTTTTATTCGTGTGGCTTTTGAAACGCAGTTAAATATGTTATTGATTTTTTTAACAAAAACAATTAAAGCTAATTCAAATTCATTTTTTCTTCATTAAAAAAGGATATACATATTTTTTTCCATTTAGCTGCTCGAATATTATTAACAATTTAGGGCAAATATTTATATATATCAAGAGTTTTCTGATTACAAATGAGATGAACTTTTTAAACTACTCTAAAGTTACATAACACGCATGTGTATGTATGTATGACTACAAGTATAATAACGGATGTATTAATTTTAAATAAGACATTCACAAATAAATAGGAAACAGTAATAGAAATGGACGATCCAGTGGATTTTGTTTGTCCATGTGTTCGGTATCTGTTTGAGCTTCGGTTCACAATTGACCAGAATTTTGTTTGAATATTTGTTTTTCAATTTGCATCAGGCCGATCTGAAAAATCTTATTAACTAAATAAAATACACATGTTAAGGCATTCTGTGTCAAGTGGCTAGGCATTATCCAGCCCTCATTTAGTAATACGTTCTTCGACGTTCATTTCGAATACTGACACACAAGCAGCAGGCAATAAACGACAGTATAAGCTGAAAAGAAATACAAAAAAAAATTAATCAATATGAATATAATAGATTTTATTTTTATATATTAGAAAAAAAAAATATTAGATTATTCAGGTATATGCTTTGACATAGCCCTATGTGATGTTTCTAGTATCATTTTCCGATATATAGTCATAAGGATGTTTTTTTTGTTGGCTCTTAAAAGAGTTGTGGATTTGTCGAGCAATTTACTTTTGAATATATTCTGCATTAAGTTGTGTAAATAGTTGCATTTTTTGAAAATATTTTCAAAATATCATATCAGTACAAGAGTAGTTTTGTTGTAATCGATGATGCATCAACATCGGATTACACTTTGGCATCATCGTATTTCATTTGGCAACTCTATTCCAATCCATGTCTATCAAATGCAACAATGCAAAATTATTGGCTTCTCGTATTAATTACTGATAAGGGAAAATAAAACAAAAACCCGAACTCTAGGCAAATGAACAAGCTCTGATTAGTCAATCAATATTCGAATTTATTGAAACAATACATGGTAATTGCTAAATCAAATTTGAGTTTGGTAATAATAACTAATAACTAATTGGTGTTATTTTAATTTATAGAAATATTTTGGAGAACTTTTCAGACTCAACATTCCCCTTTGCGTATAAATTTTGAGAAACAATCGTAACACCAGGGAAACAATTCCATAGTTTTGGATTCCCATATTATTTGTGCATCATAATAATTAAAATTGTTCCTACTGTTGAACTGATCGGAAGTTCCAAAAAACTTAAATGTTTTATTGATAATTTAAAACTTTCGAATATTATATGATATTATATCCCCAAAGTATATAACAAGAAAAGACAAATTAAATAGTCCCTACGATCCATCGGGCCATATTTTTAAGAATATAAAAGGCTCAGGCCGGGTCTATCTTTTTATGTCATCCACAATGCTGTAAGCATTTGAAATATTTAAAATCATAAATTCTTATGTCAACATATTATCACATAAATTCCAGGTTATAAATATCTGAATAGTGTGAGACAACAGAAATTCCAAACTATAGAAAAACAGGATGCAAAATTCGGTCAGAACATTCAAAACGCCGACAAAAAAGGAACATGGACCGATATTGAAAACTTCTTGCAATGAAGATGTTTTACAACGAGGAACCCGAAATGTGGAAGCTAACTCGGTTGGTAAACGACTAAAACCATAACAAGTAAAAAAGTTCGAACCGCCCGTTACACTCAATTTGATTGAAAATCGTGTCCAACATACCAAATAATAGGGGTACCCATATAGGGGGCCTACGCTGAAACTTGGGTCAATGAGATCCCAAAATACAAAAATACAGCCAATTTGGTTCAAAATCTTCAAAATACCGAATATTGGAGAGTATCGTTATTTGAGGGTTACCCTAAACCTTGAGTCAATATTAATGATTTTTGGTACGGAGATGTGGTATTCAAAGTGAACCCAAAATACCAAATTACAGCAAGTTCGGTTGAAAAGCGTGTCCAAAATACCGAATATTAGGGGTACCGCTATATGGGAGCTACCCTGAAACTTGGGTCAATATTAATAATCTTTGGTACGGAGATGTGCTATACCATGATAAACCAAAATGAAAAATTACAGCCAATTCGGTTGGAAAACGTGTCTAAAATCTTCAAAATACCCAAAGTACCGCTATATGGGGCCTACACCAAAATGTGGACAGATATATGCCATTTCCTAGTAATGTCTGTACAAAATTTCATAGCTCTATCTTAAATATTGCGATCTCTATCGTCACTTCAACAGACGGACATGTGCAAATCGGCATAGAATATTATTCTGATAAAGCATATACATATGGGCAATATTGCCAATTTTTTAATATTCCATTTTCAAAAAATCAGCTTTTTTGTTCTTGTGGCACATCAATGATTTTTGGTACACATATAGAGAAAAATATTCTGACTCCGAAACCGTTCGCGATCAAATTTTTGGTTGATGCGCGCAAAAGTTATCGAGGTTTTAATTTTGGGCATAAGAAAAAAATCTTAAAATTGCTCCGTTTATTATATTGACCAAAAACGTTGATATAGATCTTCCTCCGTAAAATAAGAATATGAATATATTAAAATAATCGCGATAACACACGCACATCTTCGCGAAATATGAGAAAAATAAAAAAATATATAGCAGATTACATCAATATTTTCATTATATTAATGACATACACACTGTACAAGAAATTACAGAAAAAATGTTGGGGTTATTCTGCTATTTTACCCGATTTTCGCCGAATAATTGGCATATATAAAAATAATTACTTTTTGTCTTTAAGTATACGCCTTGTGTATTATGTCAAGACCCTTCCGATAAATCTTGGGGTTCTATAAATAGGTATAAATCTTAAAATAAAATAATATTATGAAATATTTATTTTAAATTGCGTCTAAATCGCGTAAATCATTTGATGCGCATGCGGTTTCCAGGAAGTACTGATGTTTATCTTCCACTCCATATATATTTTGCGAAATTTCATTTGACGGCTAAGATGTGCCACATGTTGCAATGAAGTACCCAAAAACTCGTAAAACGCGATTAATTTGCGATATTTTTGAAATAATTGGGTACATCTCTCTTTCGGCTGAAGTTTTTAAAGTTCTCTTTTCGAAAAAGATCAAAATCCGCATGAGGACATTTATTGAAGCGGAAATGATCCACAGAAAACGCAAATAAATCCGCGATATTTTCCAAAACATTTTTTGCCAAATTTCGTGTTTTTGGAAGGCCAGTTCCCGCCGTTCTAGTGGATGGAATTTCACGAAGAAGATTTTATATCATCCGAAACGTAAAAAATCTTATTGATCGCGGGTACCCATATCATTCAGTTGACAGATCTAAAAATTTGGCCCGAAAAATAGGTTTTTTATAAATTGGATCGCACAAAATTTTCACCATCGGATGAGTATTACTCTGAAGCTGTGCATAATACATACACAAAATATATATCAAATTACTCAGATTCGCGACTACAATAATCTTATAATCGATTTTTAGAAATTCCTGTTTGCGTATTAAAGCTAGAAGTAAAATTAAAAAAAACACTCAAAATCGAGCTTCAAAATGTCAGCATCATTTAAAGGTAGATGCAGTGAAAATTTTGAAAAATGATACATAAGGGGCGTAGTCCCTATTTTGTTGGCTTCTAGTTTTACTTTGACACGAAGACCATGAAATGAGTGGCTTAATCACAAAGAGATAGAGAACATAAAAAAACTGGTTCGCCTCAACCTGTTTTTACACATTTTTTTACATTAAAGTAGACACAGCTTCCACCAAAATAAAGTTTGGTGGTCAATATCATGAACAGTTTGAAACGCATAAAAAGTGGCGGAAACCTCCATGTAGGAGGTTTCGTTTTTGTCTCGACCATCTCACTATGGTTTTTTTACGTTTATTTTGGCATAAACTCTAATTTTAAAGCTATTGAATTGAAATTTGGGTTGTATACATTTTTTATGCTCCCAAGATGACCTACCAATTTTCATATGATTTGGGGCACTATTTCATATAGCTGCTATATAGCCGATCTGGCCGATTTGTCCCGACTTTTTTGTTTATAAAGCTATTGAATTGAAATTTGGTTTGTATACATTTTTTATGCTCCCAAGATGACCTACCAATTTTCATATGATTTGGGGCACTATTTCATATAGCCGATCGGCCGATTTTTCCCGACTTTTTTGTTTTTAAAGCTATTGAAGTGAAATTTGGTTTGTATACATTTTTATGCTCCTAAGATGACCTACCAATTTTCATATGATTTGTGGCACTATTTCATATTGCTGCATATAACAAAATGTTTGTTCCTTACTTCGGCTATATTTCCATTACTGACTGATTTATTCAAAACAAAGGCCATGTCTCTGTCGTTGAATATTTTGGCTGAAACCGTAGCAGCAATGATATAGCATATTTTGTGAACTAACTTCGGAGGCTAATTTCCTTTTTAGCCTAGGTCCAGCATGTTCATAATTTAATTTTGGGCGACCTATTTTGTTTGGGAAAAAACATACTGCTCATCCATTACTATAATTATAATTTTACGGTTGAACTTTGGCAAATGCTTTTTTATATAACTATCAAAATCTTTAACTTGTTTCGATATCAAACGCATTTGGTCTTCATTTAAACTGATATTATTGATATTCTGTAACACATATTTCATAAGTGAATCTTCTGAGCGATTTTTGCTGCTCCAAATTTCAATAAGCGCTGCATGGGCAAACACATGTTTATCAGTAAAAAACACGAGGCACAAAAAAAGGCTAGTTACCCATTAATTAACACACTTTTGTTAATAACTTGGCATTTACACCTTTTTGCAATGCTTTGCCATTCACAAGTTACACTCCACGGAACAAAACTACAATGTATAGATTTTATACAAAGTTATACATAAACAAAACATTTCACAGTATTACAACAACAGACAAATATGACAAAAAGAGCATCTCGTCTTAATTTTACATACCTGCACTAACGTTTTCCATAATTACACATTTTAATTGTTTCAATTTTGTCAAATTACAAGCACTCGAACTTAGCTGATTTTTACCGCCAGTTGTACCAAAACAATGTGACTTTCAAACTGCTGACTTTTAAAGCTCGCCAGCAAAAAAGGGTTGCCACCCCATTGATATTGAATGTTTTTTTTCTAATATGGATGTCTACATTTAGGAAATCAGTTACATTTCAAAATATGAAAACAAAAAAAATTGACTTTATGCCAAAAAATCATACTTTTTACCCATAGTGCATCTGTTGGTTGGCAACATTGCCCGTCGAATTCAAGTAGAAATTAAGCACTTTAACAGTTAATCGAGTCATCAGCTGCGCTAAATAGACTACATATTTATCATGTTATGGTGGGTATAAGTCAAGTTTGTATCAGTTAAATAAAAGTCAAAAAGAATCGATTTTGAACATATTTGACAAATTGAACAGAGCAAACCATGATGCAATAATAAGGTGATGTATCAAACCAAAAACCTTTGTTTTTGTCTCGACCATCTGTCAAATTTTTCCATATAATATTTCACAAGGTTGGCAACACTGCACATTGAATTCAAGTAGAAATTACCCACAGTTAATCAAGACATCAGCTGCGATAAATGGACTACCTATTCATTGTGCCATAAAGCAAACATTAATATATTACCAGTTTTCCAAGTACCACAATCATTCATGTATAAATTTAAAATTCGTTAACATATGTAGATTTATATTTTTTACATATCCTCATTCCTAAATAATATCAACTCGGGTATGCTCTCAGCCAAATTTTGATCTAATTGCACTTTCCTATAATATTTAAATTTAGCAGCATTCCTAAATTGTGAACATACCTCCAAACCAATTAAAACACATGCCAGAATATTGAAGATACCCAATAATTCCAACCAATAATCTTCGAATTTGATGCGGCAACCACTTTCAATGAGATTTTCAGCCATGCTTTTATCATGACCCACAAAACATGTTTCTGGTGGCATACGTCCGGCAACAATGTAATCCTGAGGGCTGGCACGGCCGCAGCATTCAAACTGCAAAAATAGAATAATAAAATGAATTCGATACCATGGTATTCGATAATAGTGAATATACTTACCCAATTTTCATAAATCGACATAGCACCTTCTTCCTTTAGTTCCCTCTCCCATGTGGCATCCAGAGAATTTGCAAGATTGGAGGCAACCGATTCCTTGCCAGCTAGCATGAAGAAAGCAACAACAGCTTGAGCCAATATCACCAGCACCATAAGAATGATAAACTGTAATGGTATTTAAAAAAACTCAATTTAAACTCGTTTCGAAACATTCATTTGTTATTTCAACACCTTTTTCTGATTCAAAACATTTGAATTGAAATTATAAAATTCCAATTGTAATTCATCACAATTCAATTTAAAATTCGAGAAACAATTCAAGGATTATTTTTGTAATTGAAATAATTCAATTCTAAATTCGTTTATAATATATGATATGAAATGTTTGGAATTAATAGTGTAAGTCCATGAATTAAATACTGAACCATTTCGAATTTTAAATGGAATAATTGGAATTTCAAGTGAAATAAATTTAATTACTAATAAATTAATTATAAATTACAGAATATCTTGTCCTGCTAGACGTCGACTAATATTCCGCTTTGATAATTTTATATATTTTGTGGTTAGTTTGAGTTAATTTTTTCGCTTTGTTCTTACCGTCACTGTACAGCACACATTGTTTCGGATGGCGCCAACATTTAAAAATATAAAGACCACAAATGTGGCTACACCAATGGCTATATAACCATAGGCACCCATAGTGCCAATATCGTTTGTGTCATTGGTACAGATCACATAGGCACCGAAACCAATTAGAACCGATGCTAATAGCTGAAATGAAAATGAAAAAAGTAGCAAACATTTTATTATTGACACATTTAAATTACAAACGCTAACATTGGATATCATATAATGCTAGATATCTTGTTACAAGGTTTATGAATGAATTTCAATAACTAATACTTTTACATAGACAGCATTGTCGTTTAAAATAAAAATTAATAAAAAATTAAATAGAAAAGAAAACATGTTTTTAAAAAAAGTTCGATCGGAGCGAATCTTTTACACTTTCTAAATACCTACAGTATGTCAAGAATCAGGTTATTTATTAAAGTTATTCTAAAATACCCAATTACAGTCTATCCAGTTGAAAACCGTGCTCAAAGGAAAATCGAAAGCGTTTTCGATTGATAGAAAACTCTTTCATGTTCTGAAGTTAATTCCGCACATTATGCAATAATAAAGTGATGTATCAAAACAAAAACATTTGTTTTTTACCCGACCATCTGTCAAATTGTATCTATAACTCCCTATTTGTCACTCATCAGGCATCCACAAAATTATTCGTTATTATTGGACAATTAGAAATAAATAAAAAACAACTGTCAAAACTCTCAGTGTACACTGGCGTGAAATGTGGGTGTTTACACATTCGCCCCGCAAACTGTTTGTTTATATTATTCTCGAAATAGAAATTCCACAAAAATTATTATTCGCTAGCGTAATTGTGTGCATTGGAATTTGTGTATTTTCTAATCAAAACATTGTGGGAATTGTTAATGCATTTCGCATGCATAATATGATCCTAATACAACGGCATTGCTACATATGTATATACAGTGAGTCAGAGTCAAAAGTATCCACTTGGCGACATGCATACATGTTTGGTAGAGGCAAAAATGAACATACCCTTAGTACCGATGGTTCCTTTTGTGGAATAATTCCATTGAACTAGTTCGTTCCGGAACGACCCAACCATGTCACAATGAATAGGTAGTCCATTTAGCGCAGCTGATGTCTCGATGAACTGTTAAAGTGCGTAATTTCTACTTGAATTCGATGTGCAATGTTGCCAACCATGTGAAATATTATAAGGAAAAACTTGACAGATGATCGAAACAAAAAAAAAACATATAAATTTACCACTCATCTCTTATGTCCCCACTTTTCAGGTCCAGGTTCCAAGTGAAGCAAACGTTTAATAATTTGCTGCTGTGCTGGTCTGAAACATATGTCCAATTTTCGAGATTTCGTTAATCGAGTCATTTTAAAGGCGTGTTTAGACTACAGAGTTTATATTGATAAAAATTGCCACAAAAATTATGAAGCCAGTGAAATGTTCATGTATATGATACATAAGCAAATAACAGCTGACAATTGAACTTAATATCAGTCTAAACAGTTAGAGCGCATTAATACTCAAACCAGTGGATTACATTTGACGTATACGCTATGGAATTGACATTTGAGATCGAGTGGTAAATCCAAACGCACTTTTAGGATTTGGCACCTCGTTTTACAAATCGAATCGAAATAGAAGGTGTATTCTAAACGCACCTTTACTGTGAAATTTATAATACGTAATACACATTTTTAATTAATAGCCAACTTGTACTACCTTTTTACAGAAAAATCACATCTCCCGGCTTTTTAGAGCACGTTTAAACTACTAAATCCACTCGATTTTAAATGTGAATTCCATATCGTATACGTCAGCTTAATCATGTTCACAAATCCAGTGGATTATATTTAAACCAGTGTTGAACAGAACTAAATTGAATGTAAGTGTGGGAGAGTGTAACTTAGAATTAAAAATGACAGACGAGTGTGCATGAGTGATCTGAACGCACTTTTACACCGCATGTTTTGCTTCTGGAAATATAACCATAAAATTAGAAAATGTGTGAGTGTGACCCTAAGTAGAACCGAAGTTATTGTGTACTGTATCAAAAATTCGACCATTGACGATTAATCGATCCGTTTTGTTTACCGTTAATTTTTATTGTTTTTTTCTCCGAAAAAATCACGATAAAATATTTATTTTTCCCATTTGAAAAATATACAATTTAAAACCAATATTTTTTTCAAAATAAATATGAAACAATAAATTAAGCATATTATTTATTTATTTTTGTTTCTAATTCAAACAACATAATAATGGGGAATCCAAAATTATTTTATATGAAAATAAATAATGACCTCCCATTGATGTTTTCGTAAATCGGATTCGATCATTTTATTTTCATATGGTCGTTTGTTTTTTTCCCCAAATAATTCACAGTCAAGCAATTGAACCATATGGAATTACGAAGATATCATAACTTTTTGTTTAATTAAAACAGATCGCGAATTGAGAATTTCTGTCTGTCTGTGTTTCCATGGAAACCATACAAGCTCTTAGATGTATTCATGTATGATATTCATTTAAGTAATTAAATTCATTCAAAGATCATCACGACCAATCGACTGTGGTATTTTTGCTGCGCCATGTGGGATGCTTCGGGTCAATTTGCACTTCAACACTGCAGTAGCTAGTCTGTGAGTATGCCACAACTTGTAAATTGTGCAATATTTCGTTACATACAAATTTCTGTTTTTTTTTTCGTTTTGTTTATTGAGAAAATTGCACGAAGCATTTAATTATTCTAGACCGTGATTTTCTATGTAGATATACGTGTACATCACTGTAATTAAGTTTACTTAGCATTCTAGCAATTTGAGATTCTATGTATCCTAGCAACACGTGGCCATTATTAATTGATACCGCCCACAATGTTCGCCATTCATTTATAATTAGTTAACACTATCGGTTTTGTAATTGTTTACGTTGTAAAAAATAAAAAAATATATATATTGTGTATTGCCTTTTAGCCACACATTTTAAACCATTTTGTCTGGAATTCCGTGAAATAGTTTTCTTTTGCGGTTTATTCACAAACGCCTTCATTCTGGGTAAAACGACTGATGATGAGTGTTTGAAAGGTGTTACCGCTAACCTTTGCAAACGTCATTATTTTAAATTCATGGACCATTTCCGTATAGGTGAATAAGCGCTACCCGAACATCAATTTGAAACACTGGAAGTTTGTTGTTATCTTATCAAACAAATTACTTATTTAACAAGAAATGCATACTTACTTCGATGCATCATTCCTACATGCGTGTTTGATTGCTCATTCATATATCAAAATAAAAAAAAAAACATTACCAAAGAATTTATAACCAGGATGTCAATGATTTAAATAAATAGAGCATGTTTAATCTGTACCTACATAGAGCTCAAAACATCCTATATCGGTGATCTCTGCGGAAAATGCATGTATACGCTTCAACATAATTGAAATCCGAGGGCTTCACCAAAATATGAAACGTTAAATGTTACCCTCCTCAATATTGTGGATATTATAAGGTGTAATCCAATGATGGGCCCCTCTAAGAACCCGAACTGCCTAATTACATACTTCTATTGAATATCGCATTATTCAAAATATTTAAAATTTGATGACCATTTTTGTGGAACTATGTTTTAACACGAACATATATTGAACTTTATCTGTTATGAGGTATTTTATGGGCCTAGTAAAAGTATCGACAATTTACAATTTTATATCAAGAAATAGTTTCTCCTCTGAGAACCCGAAATACTTCATGGTAGACACTTATTTTTGAAGGAAGGGGATTTCAATTGTGAATTCCATGGTATATATGTCAAATAAATCCTCATAAAGTAGGTTAATCCAGTAAAAAGTTCTAATGTGAATGCCATTTAAGAACTTAAAAAATACATAAAATGTGAGTTGTCAAAACATTGTCCCATTAAAAGGGGTTTGACATTTCTCATGGTTGGCAACATTGCACGGCTAATTCAAATAACATGATGTAATTATAATGTGATGTATCACATTATAGCACATCGACACGACATAGCACATCGAATTCAAGTAGAATCTACGAATTTTGACTGTTAATCGAATCGTCAGCTGCGCTAAATGGAATACCTGATTATTGTGCCTTGTCCAATGACAAATATGTAATCTGATGCATGGAGCACCTGTTGGTACAAATAAATGTCAAAAATAAAACAAAATACATGGCATAATTACAGAAGCTAGTCTCATTTGAGAATTTTATGATCGCAACCTTTTCTAATTTGGAACTCATCTATCAATTTTTAATAATATTAAAAATAAGTTCCATAAAATTTTATGTATGTCGATTGGCATATTTTCAATAAATTAAACAAAATATATTTTCTAAAGCTGAACACTTCTCTCAATATTTTACTATGGTTATAAGTTGTAGAGGCAGGGAACTTCAAAATATTTATAAATATAAATTATGCGTACATTTCGAAGGAAGATATTTTCATTTAAATTTTGAAAGCTGAATACTGTCAAAGGCAAATTTATAAAAAAAAAATTGGAAACATATGACTGCATGAGACTACCTTGTATAATTATGCCATGAAGAAAATATTAAAAACAAAACAGAATTATAAATAAAAATCTCCGAATTGTGAAGAACTTTTTCAGCAATACATTTATTAACATCGGTTTGTTTTTGCAAATATGGAAAACAGTAAACTCTGACAAAATACATTACGGGAAAATAGTTGAGGGGAAAACAGACGCATCAAAATCAAAAATACATATCGGAATAGAAATAATATTCCATGCAATTTTTCAGGTAATAAAATTGCGATAGGATGCTTTAAAATAAATAAAATTACTTGCTTCCTTTGACTGTGTAATGCTCCGTCTTTATGATTTTATATCATTGGAATTTTTTAAAAAATCTGACAAGAAGTCATAAATTATATCAACTGTTTTTAGTGAAATTAAATCACTATTTTTTAAAATATGTTTTTAGTAATAAAATTTTTATATTTTAAAATTAAATTTAATATTTTGAATATAAAATCTATGGCGTTATCTGGGTTAAAAGAACAACGTTTTGCTTTTGATGCAATATATATGTATATATATATATATATATATATATATATCTGAAGAATCTGTCAATCTGTGGGGGCTTCTGAAATCTGGAAATAA